GGCCACTCAGAAACATCTGCACAGCAGCAATGACTGGCTGGTGTCTCGGACATGTAGCCAACAAAGCCAGGACTGTGGATGTCAAGGGCATTAGGCCTGTGGGGCAGTGGCCTTTTGCCCCTGCCTTCCTCCTGGTGGGTGCTCACATGCACCATTCTTCCCTTGGCCAGCCAGGTATGAGGGAGAAGACTGCCGAGGACATGTGGCACACGTGCCCACATCCAAGGACATGTCACCCTTGTGATTAGAATATTCTGCTGTTTCAGGCAGAGGCCAATCTTCCCAACCTTGACATTTTTAGAAAAAGAGAACATCACAAGCAGTGAGAAGGACACTTAGTCCCAAGAGGATAAACTAGAAATGCCAACTGAAGCTACCCTCAGGCACACTTTATGTTCTTGGTTAGAAAACTGAGGAAGAGGGAAATGAATTTGGGGTAGGTGCCAGGTGCCAGGAGAGCACATGAAGGAGTGTTCACCTGTCCAACATATGCATGTGAATGCCTGCATGAATACATGCACCCTCAAACACAAAAACGCACAGACACAACCACACGTCCACGTTGAGCTCAAGGCTCCCAGGCTCCATCACAGCATCTACATTATCAAGAGCTCTCAGCTGGTGATGGTGCAGGTGACCTGCATGTCAGCTGTTCTTGCTTGGGCTGAAGTTCCAACCTAAAGACTCAATACCACACAAAGGCTTCTTTTATGCATGTGGAGTCTGAGGGACTTTACAAATAATAGCAGTGGAAAGTGATTTATTTCCCTGGATTAAAGGTCAGCTTGGTGTGCAGGACTCTGGAGCCAAACAACAATATAAACTTCTATTAATTTATCAGTGCTGCCCAGAAAAAGGCTGGGGGAAGAGATGGAGGGAGATGAAAAGAGAGAAAGAGAAACAAAGAGACAGACAGATACATGGGGAAGAATGAGACAGAGAGAGGAAAATGGGGGGAGAGACAGAGGAGGACAGAGAGACAGAGTGGGGACAATGTGAAGGTCGCAGCTCTCAGGCACAGATCCACCACTATGTGACTCACTCTGGGTGGCCATGGATTTAATTTGGCCACAGAAGACTTTTGACAGCTCAAGGAGCCAAAACACACACAGCAAACCTTGTTAAAGTTTAACTGTAAAGCTGTAGGATGAAAGATTTTCATGCAACATGGAGAAGTCAAGGTACAAATTTGTGTAATTGATGAGCCTGGGGCACCTTGAAGTTTTAGTAAGGAGATAATAAAAAAAACAAAAGAGACACATGAGCCAACCTGAAGGAGCTCACAATAGCCAAAGCTGGAACAATTTGAGCAAAAAAAAAATAAAAATCACATAATAAATTAAACCAAAAATGATTGAATATAAATAAAAGGGGAGAAGAGACGCCTTTACAGAAGAATTCCAATTAATATATGCAGATATTTCTCTCTAGGAATTAAAGCTTAATATTGTACTCTCCTGGAGAGTGGGTAGGATTTAGTGTCTTGTTTTCTAAGAAGAAAATTTGTAAAGGAGGCAAAATGTGACTTTTCAGTGGAGAATCTACCAAACACTACCGTGGTCAAGTGATTAAGGTTATTATCATCAGAAAGTTATGCTGATATCATGAGAAGGGCATCTCACTATGAATTTTTCTCAAAACCTACAACCACAGTGTAATTACGACAAAAACATCTGAGAAACTCAAGTCATGGGACATTTTACAAAACACCTAACTAGATGGACTTCAAACTTTCACGGTCATGTCAAGATCATGAAAAATAAGAAAACATTAAAAAAAATCACAGACCAGAGAAGACTAGTGAGCTATGATGACTAAAGGCAACATGGCATCTTGGATTGGGTCCTGGAACAGAAAATAGAAAGTAGTAAAATGCAAATAAAATCTAGAGTATAATCAATAATAATGTACCATTGCTGGTGGCTTAGTTTTGTAGATGTATCACAGCAATGTAATATATTAACATTAGGGAAAACTGGGTGAGGGGTACCCATAAATTTTCTGTACTCTTTTTGCAACTATTCTGTAAATCTAAAATTAAAGTAAGTTTTATTAAAAACAAAAAGCAAAGCAAAAAATTTATGTAATCAAAGTGGTTGAAAAGTTCAGGTCCTAGTAACCTGGAAAGAGCAAAGAGGTTAACATGGGAATGCCCCCGCCACCAACAGCCTTTCCTTGCCATTCTAAATGGAGCACTATGTGTTTTAAAGATAACTAAATGAATATAAAGTTGCTAGCAGGTAAGATGCATTTGTTTTTCTTCCCTTCATAAGTGTCTGAGGAGGAGGTGCTTCTGGGGGCATTTCTGTGGACAGTTTTACTAAGTTGTGGTTATAACTGTCTGCTGGAGTGGAGCTCATGAGCTTGGTGACAAGGCCTTTGGTGTACATCACTTGAACAGATGATTGGTCTTGAAGTAAGGAGAACACCTTAGGGCTTGGGTGTGAGTGACATGGACAGAGTCATCTGGTGAGCAGCAGAGCCCAGGAATACAGGGCTGCTCCCCAGGCCATGGGATACCAGGTGGCCCCATGACACTGTGACATAATGATCAATGTGTACAGGTAGTCCCCAACTTTATGTTGGTGTGAAAGTGAGACACATTCAATAGAAACTATACTTTGAATCCTGATCCATTCCTAGGCCAGTGACACAAGGTATGATCCTCTTCTCAGTACTGGGCAGTGAGTTAGCTGCAACCCCACAGAATGACCAGTACTCTGCAGTGCTGGTGGCCATGATGTGGAGGCGAGAGGAGGCCACTGCACCGGAAGCAGGGTGCAGTTGTCCTGAGTCAGGGCATCCACACTAGGTCTGCTCTGGGCTCCTGATGCAGAGTATCTCATGTCCCTGAACATTTGTTGTACATTATGAGCCCCTTCTAGCCACCCAGAGTTTAGGCTAAGGAGGCCACTCCTGGGGTGCTGGTCACAGAGGTAGCTGCCACTTGTGTGTGTGAATGTCTGCCCTACCTGCCCCTTGGGAGGGGAGCTGGGGATGGCCTAAACCTTCAATGGCCAGTGAGTTCATCAGCCCTGCCCTGTAACAAAACCCTGCAAAACAATAGAGCTCACACTTCAGGGCTGGTGACCATGTGAGGTGTGTGGGCCTTTATCTCTTCCCTCCAGTGCAGCTGATACCTTTGTGATAAGTGGCAATTGTGAGGAAACTATCCTGAATTCTATGAACTATACTACAAATTACCCAATTTGAGGAGGGTCTGTGGGAGCTGGGTTATAGCAAGCCGGACAGAGGTGGCAGGTGACCTGGGACCTGCTGCTGGTGACTGGTATCCTCAGTGGGCCCTCTTGGTTCCTGCTCCCCATAGCCCATCCAGCTAGGCTTGCCCACAGTTCCAGGGACAGACAGGCCCCAATTCCACCTAAGCTGCCCATCTGGCCCTTTCTGACTCCAGAGCCAGAACATATACCATCTGCCTGTCCTGTGTTCCGCTCCACATCCTCTGTAGACAGTGCTCCCAGTGAAAACTCATCTAGGTGTTCTGAAGCCACTTTCATCCTGTGGCTAAGAGCTTCAAGTGAGCACAGGCCCCTGGCCTCACAGTCCTCATGCCAGGAGAGTCAGATGCATGAACATCCTGCCAGTGTTTCTGGGCCAGCCAGTACCACAAGCACATTTTGTCCACTGTTGAGGCCAAGTGTGATACAGCAGGACCCTGGAGTAGCACTGGCTGCTCACAGGTTCAGAGCAGCTTTGGGAGTGTAATGGAGCCTTCACAGCCCGGGTTCTTCTCAGGCCTTCCCTGACCTGAGTGTGGCGCTTCTGTGGACATAACCTCAGACCCTCAGGGTTCCCCTCTCCATGTGACCCAGCTGGCCAGGCTCTGAGGAAGGGGGCAAAGATCCTTAGATACTCTGGGGCTTTCAGCAGGGCCCTGTTCAGCCTGGACACTGAGCTGAATGAGGACATGTGGAGGGAGCTGCTGGCTGCAGACTGTCATCATTCTGGGGAGCAGACCATGCTTGGTCTTTTTGGCAAGGTATGGCTGGTGCATCAACTCCTACTGAAATGTACATGCAGGTAGCTCTAAGACTTTCCAGCACCTGGTCTGTGTGTGCGAATGGTCCACTAGCACACAATCAGTTCATTTGTTCCCAGGGGCTGCTTTCTATCATGGTACATGTGGTGTTGACAACATTTCCTCTTGGCACATTACCGAAAGTTGGTGACCATGCCCGAGGACAAAGGAGCTCTGGGGTCCCCAGCAGAGCAGAGAGAGAATTTCTGAGGGACATTTGATAAGATGAAGAGCAGTCTCAAGACCTTGAAAAATAGTCAAGGCATCAGGTCAAAGAGAAACACTAATGGTGCTGTTTGGGTACCCAGGTCACCAATACAGTGGCCCAACATGCTGGACACACAACTGCGAGGGAACAGTGCCTTGGCTTTCAAACATGATGTGAAATGTCCAAAGCTCAGGAAAAAGAAGCTACATAGGACAATGAGAACCACAGCGGTAGCCTCTTGGCCAAGAAGCAAGTAAACACTGGCTTTCCTATGTTTGGGCTGTGGGCAATGAGCTGAAACATGGAGAAAATGAGTCTTACAGGACAGAGATGTGTGCTGGACACCAGGATGTCAAATGCTACCCTGGCATCTGCCCTTAGCATGTGGGCATCTGGCAGGGACAGTGGCAGCGATGGTACTGTTCAAGGCTCTGACTTGGGCCTATGCCTGGTAGTTGTGTCCGAAGCCCTGGGCTGAGGCCTGAGATGGGGCATTTGGGAGAGCAATATGGAAGCAGCCATGCCTGCCAGAGAAGAGTGGACTGTAATGCAGCTCCAGAAGGTCCAGAAGTGACCAGCTTGGCCCAGGGGCTTGGGAAAATCAGCTCGACTTGCCTCCAGGGTAGGTCAAGTGCCCATCCCACCAGCCTAGTGAGCAGGGACCTCTGCAAATGCTTCAGGCCGACTGCCTAACGAAAGGTAGAACATCCTGGATGTGTGCAGCAGCACTGTGGTGGCCAGTGTGCTTCTTACCTCGTAGTGGTAGTCCATGCAGGTGAGGTCCCACCAGCACTGGTCACCCCGGATTTTGATCAGGCCCTGTAGAGGTGAGAAAGCAGAGCATCAGGCATGGCCAGAACATCGTCAGGCCTGGTAAAACCAGCTCCCAAGGATGAAAGTGGACCATGAAAGGCACGGTGGCACATGGCCTGTAATCCCAGCTACTCAGGAGGCTGAGACAGAAGGACTGAAAATTTCAGGCCAACCTGGGCAACTTAGAAAGATCCTTTCAAACAAAACAAAACAAAAAACCAAACCAAACCAAAACAATATAAAAAAAAGTGGACATCTATGACACCAGAAAGCCTGTGCTGTGAAAGAATATGAACACTCTAAAAAGTAAAATTTAACCAAACTTTATGGAAGGCACACTCAGGACTTTTTTTTTTTGGTGGTACAGCTCAAACATAGGGCCTTGCGTATGCTAAGCAAGCCTTCGCCCACTGACCTATATCCCCAGCCCTTTTTATTTTTTATTTTGAGATAGGGGCTTAAGTTGCCCAAAGTGGCCTTGAACTCACAATCTTCCTACCAAGTAGCTGGGATTACAGGAGTGCGCCCATAGCCCTGGCTCAGTCACCCTGAGCAGTGTCTCCAGGGAGGAGGTCAGCACATGTGCCTTGTCCCTTTTCTCTCAAGCACCAGCAGTATCAGGTGACTCATTCATTTCCAAGTCAGAAACAACTGTTTCCTGCTAGAACTAAAACCTTAGCCAGAGATGTAGAGATTTGGTTCTAATTTCTATCTCTTCCATATGAACTATGATGCAAGGTAAGAAATGATTTTAGAGAAAGAAGCCCAGTCTTCTCCAGAGACAGTGCTTCCTGCAGCTATGCCTATCCCTGGAAAAGGTGGATTGGCTATATCTATCTACTCATTCCTCATCCACTTACTCATCCGTAATTCACTTATCACCCATCCATCATCTACTCATCCATTACCCACCCGTCACCTGTTAACCACCCACCCACCCATCACCCATCCACCCATCCATCATCCATCCACTCATCACCCATCCATTATCCATCCACCCATCAATCATCCACCCATCATCTATCATCTACCTATCCATTGTCCATCCACTCATCATCCATTCATCATTTATTCATCATTCATCATCTACCTATCCATCAACCATCTACTAATCACCCATTAACCGTCCATCATCCATCTACCCACCCATCACCCGTCCATCATCTATCCACTCATCACACATCTATCCATCATCCATCTACTCATCAGTTATCCATTACTCATCCATCCATCTATCATCCATCAACTCATTACCTATCCATCCATCACTTAACTATCATACAACATCCACTTGTCCATAATCAATCCATTTATCCATGGTCCATCCATCATCCATCTAGCCATCATCTGCCCATCACCCATCCACCCACCCATCACTCATCCATCTATGACCCATCCATCATTACCCATTCATTATTCATCCATCCACTCATCACCCACCCATCATTCATCTATCCATCTTCCACCCATCACCTATCCTTCCATCATCCATCCACTGACCCATCCATCCATACATTCATCATCTACAGAACATTTTCTCTTCTATCACTATCCATCCAATAACCTATTCATCCATCCATCCATCCATCCATCATCAGTCCACTCATCCACCATCTATCCAGTATCCACTTAGCCATCCACGCACCCTCTATCCACTCATCCATCAATTTACCCACCATTCACTTGCAGACCTGGACTGAGTGCCCATGAGGTCCAGGTGGGCCCAAAAGAGGCCACATTCTAGTAGGGCTAGACAGGCATGTTAGAGGTGCATAGAAAAAAGGCCAGTAGGGGTTTACTCAGGCTGTTATAATAAAATACCACAGATGGGTGACTTATAAACAACAGAAATTTATTTCTCACAGACTAGAAATCTGAAGTCAGGGGGCTGGGATAGTTGGTTCTGGTGAGGGTCTGTTTCTGGGTTGCAGATGGCTGACCTCTTGCTATGCCCTCAGATGGCAGAAAGAAGGTGAAGGGTTTTTCTGGGGTCTCTTTTATTAGGACACTAATTCCACTCACAAAGGTTTCCCCTAAATAGATATTGGATGGTATTAGGCCTCACCTCCTACTTTTATCAGCCCAGGACTAGGATTTGAACACATGAACTTGGGGGGACATATCACAAGGCAAGCCTGAAAATGAACAGGATTGACAAAGATGGCTGAAGGAGAGGGGTCAGCCCTGGCAAGGCTGGGGCCACTGTATAACAATAGAGAGTACAGTGTGGAGACTTAGGCCATGAGTGTGAGCATGGTAAGGACAGGTGTGTACGGAGCAGAAAGGATAGGAAAGGATACAACATGGAAACCCAGGGGGTCCCTGGAACCCAGACCCAACCCATGGCACATTGTGTGAGGCCAACCTCAGGAATGGCATGGTGCGGCTGGTTAGAAAGCCCAAGATCCAAGCAGAGGTCATCAGGAAGTACAACCAGACTCCTGGGTAGGAATATAAGTGACACACAAGAGGGACGTCAGGCAGCTGAGGAGACAGGGGCTTTCCATACTCTGGCTGGAACTGGGGATGATGCACAAGTGTGAGAGCCAAGAGGGATAGTGGCCTGACCCTGGAAGACAACTGGCCTCCAGAGGGAAGACGAGGGATCCCAAGAGGACCTGGAGAGAGCCCAGGGGCACCTGCAGGAACACCTGTGCATGGACTGCACTGTGTCACCACTTAACTGGAAGAGGGGCCACTTCCTGTGTCAGTGTCCATGTCTCTAGGGTCCCTCAGGCCCCACGGGTGCCTGCCACTGACATTACAGGTGAGCAGTGTGCAACACTGAGAGTCACATGGAGTTGTATTCCATGACCTGGGAACAATGCTATTTAGAGACTTGCTGGCTATGTTACCATGAGGACCAAGTCCGTCTGAAGAAACTGGTTTGCTCAGATCACAGACACCAAAAGGCAGCACCCAGACATAACTCCCGCCCTGCACATCCCTAGTACTCATACAAGTTGGGTGTGTCGGGCCAACCAGGGTCTGAGTGAGCCTGTCACCCTGAGACTCATCCTGTATCCACTTAGGCAGAACTGATAGCTTCTTCTGCTAGGCAGGAAAGTGGGTGGCACCTTGGCGTCCGTGAGCCTGGCTCAGCATCCCACATCCCTACAGAATCCGAGAGCAGGACTCTTTGGAGATTCAAACCAGGAAGAGGGAAAAAAAACAAAATAATTAAGATGTCACTCAAATTCCAAGTTGATATGAGACACTTAAAAAGCTGAACCTTCCTCCAGGAGTAGAAGATAATTATGCCCCTCCCTCAGCTCACTCCAGCATTGCAGATGTCAGATTTCCACGGCTTCTTTCTTCCAGAGGAAGTGTCAAGGGAACAAAGCCCTCTTTGAGCTTTTTCCAGCTCAAAATTAATTTTGAAAAATGGCACAGACAGGCCACAGCATGCCAGACCCACAGGAGCTAAATGACCTACAGTTGTCCTGTGACCCTCCTGCCCTCTGCTTGAGAAAGACAACACCAAGATGCTGGAACATTTCAGGCTGATAGAAGACGTCTTGATTTTGCATTGAGTGGAGACACAGGTGCTTTTCAAAAATGCACTCTGAACATGGAGATGCCCTGGCCTCAAGCACAGAAACAAAAGCCTGAATGCTGCTTTGGATCCTTGGCCTGAGAGACTGGATGACGGCCTCTTCCTGCTCTGTGAGAACTTAGTTAGACCTTTGCTTCCTTGGAGTAAGAAGGCTGGAGGACAAGCTGTGCCCTGTGAGTAGGTGTAGGGACTCAGGCATGACCTGCAGCACTGTCTCTCCCTTACAGGATCTGAGCTCCCACACAGGAAGTTCACATGCTCTGCAAGACGCTGCAGCTCAGGGCTGCAGTAACTGCCCCATGGTTCACTCATGTGATATAAGCACATGCTCTGTGGCTTCCTAAGACTCAGTTGTCTCCACATTTGGAGGGACTACCCCAGGTGTCACCCAGAGCCCCTGTCCCTGCCAGACCTCAGGCCAGACCAGCCCTTGTGGATGAGGGAATTGCTGCTAGAGGTGGAAGTGTCACCCAAATGTACTTAGGTTACAGATTCACAAACTGCCCTTACTTCAGCTTCAGCTGTGCCCAATGGCTGGGGTGTAGCTCAGTAGTGGAGCATTTGCATTGCATGAGCAGGGCCCTGGGTTCAACTCCCAGCAAAGAAAAAAAAATCTGGACCTCAGGGGCTCTGGGTCCCAAGGGTCCAGTAAAGACCTGGTCATATCACCTAGGGAAGCTCTGTCCCTGTGAGTGGAGCCTCAACACCCTCCATGAGCTGCAAGCGGGCAGAGCTGAGGGCTGCAATGAGCCCTGAATACCCTGGACTGAACTCATGTGCTATAGTTCTACCTAAACACCACTACCTCAGAGCCCCTAACCGACCATGATCTAATGGTTTAGTGGGAGAAATGATGAAAAGAATGATATTTTCATTGCAACTTGGTGCCTCTGAAGTATAGATTTGCCATAAACACTCAGAACTTTGTAAATAATCAACTTCTGCTAGAGGCTACTGCCCTATCTTAGCAAGTTATCCTACCACATAAATTCATTCATCTGACTGTGATAATATTTTTCTTAATTTAGAAAATCCAAAAGGTTTCAGTGTCACTATCTATATTCCTTTTCATCAGACAACGTGGGATTAAATGAACCCCTCCTCTGATCTTGTGAGCAGTCTACAAAGGTGTGCCTGGTAAGCATAGCTCGCTTCAGGAAAGCCACCAGATGGAAAGTTTCACACACGGGAAGTGTAGCTGCTGGAGCTGTTTTGTGTGGTCCTGCAGTTGCTTTGAAAATTACCATGACAACTCTGGTGTGTGACTGCCTATGTGGAGGGGCAGTGAGGAGTGGGGAGGGGGTTCTTAAATCCTTGCCCATGTTAGGGGCCTCATGCCTTTTTAAGCCCCTAAGGATGGCTGTTTTTCTGCCCCCTTTTGCACTGAGACAGAGGGCTGAAGATCAGAAGCTTGAAAGGGCCCCAGCTTGGGTCCTGGGGTGGAGGTTTG